GACAATTCTTCAATCGGGCATTAACCGGATCTATTCGATCCTAGACTGAACCCGAGATAACGAAAGGTGACTTGAACTAAATGTAAAGGAATTTTTTCGATCTCTGATTTTCATAACCGATATCTTATGAATAATTTTTTATATCATCTACAAACCAACAGAGACCGGACAGGTCCTACCCTTAACGTCATCATCTAGAACCCCGGCCAATAATGAGATTATGTGAAATGTATTACTAATTGAGGTCAATTGCAATTAAAATGAAATTTGAAATTTTGTGCGGAGTAGTTAGACAAAAGTTGGTAAGATTATATGAGAGTTTAAGCTATACATTCAAGACTACACGTTGAATAACCCATTACACAAATATAACCCCAAAAAAGTCACACCCCCTCATTTAAAAGAGAAAATATAACCCCAAAAAGTCACCACATTAAGTTTTGACACATTATTTAAAGAGAAAATAATAAGGGTAATGAATAGTGTAAATTAAGTAGGCGAGAATCTGGAAAAGTAGAAAATAAAAAATAGAATAAGTAAGGGTAACTTAGTATTTTTAAAGAAAAACTTTTAAATACATCTTAATTAAGAAATAGTAGCAAACTTTAAAATACAGAGGAAATATAATTTTTTAAAATGCACAAAAAGTATATGACATAACTCATTTAAAAAGAACAGATAGACAAAATGGCATTAAAATAAATTTGTTTTTCTTGAAAGGAATTAAAATAATTATTTTTGCAAGGGCATTAAATAAAATTATTAAAAAACCAAAGTATACAAACATCGTCTTATGAAAGAGTAATAAACATTTTAGCAGCCACCATAAAAAACAACTATTATGAGGCCGTTTGGGAACACTGTTTTTTGACTTATCAGGCTTATCAGCCAATTTTTTCACCAAACACATAAATTTGCACGGTCGGAGAATTTTTCTTTCAAATTTATTTGTGCTCGGTAATTCAAATTACACTATCAATTTCTTTTAAAATGGAAGCAACCATTTTTCTCCACAGTCTACGTTTATAGAAATTTTATTGGCAATTTTACTATTTCTTGCCAAAGACTTCTACGTGACTTTTAATTTCTTAGCATACAATAGAAAAGAATGTCACCAAGTCATATTCCGGGATTTTGTATGAGTTTTATTCATGCATGTATATTACCCTTATGTAGTTATGTATATCTCCAAATATCACAACGTACTAACCATAACACAACCATACTTAAGACGAATATGTTGAATAGATGATGGTATATATCACTTAACCAATATTATGGTTGATTGTAAGCTGTAAAAATATAATACTCCCCCCCGATTCTAAACAAACTTCATAGTTTGACTTTACGTTTTTTTAAGAAAGTGACAATATTACTTTTGACTTTCTCATCATGCCCTTACAAGAAGGTGATAAAGTGTATTGGGAGAGAAAATGGGTGTAAAATAGGTAATAAAGTAAAGGTCTAGGGGTAACTTTATGTTAAGAAGTTGTCAAAAATAGAAGCGTGAAGTTTATTTTGGATCAACCCAAAAAGGAAAGTGTGAACATTATTTAGGATCGAAGGGAGTATATGAATTGCCATAGTGAAATTAATTATCCTAGTAATGCCTGCCAATCAGGGGGGTGACCAATGTTGTATTCTCGGATAACTTGATATTCACTCTATTATTTCCACATTTAGAGATCCTGATAAAAATGTATATTATTCAATTTTAATTCTATCTTCGTCTCTCAAAATTTTGCCAAGTTTGATCGGTACGGAGAATAATGAAGTAAAAACGGTGTGATTGAAGTTTGTGCAAACTGCAAAGGAGAGAGAAATAATAGGAACCACAAAATATTGATTAAAAGGAAAAGTGACAAAGTTTTTTGACACATCCTAAAAAAGAAAATATGACAAAGTTTTACGGGACGGTGGGAGTATACTCTAAAAGTTTGCAGCATCTTGGGGTCCCATTTATGATATTCATTATTCTTCATTTGTCGGGTTTGATACTATCTTGTTGAAATTCTACTGATTCCTCTTTCTTTCATCTTTCTTTTTTAATCATTCACCTCCATTCCTTCAAATTCCATTTCAAAAATTAGGTGAAAATTTTGGGTGCATATACATTTTTTAAGACGTACATTTAAGTTTATGTGATACATTTACAAAAATAAAGTACTTAGCCTTTTAAAATATCGTAGAAGCTTATGAGTTATATGCATGTCCAATATAAACACCGAAATCCAGGAAATTTGATGTCATCTAAATACATTTTTAATGATCAAATACAATTGAGCCTTGTATTTAGCTCTATCATATTTTTATATTAATTGCTAAAGTGTTATATTCTTTAATAAAAATAATAGATGCTATTAACTAAAAGGAACTTATTTGTTAAGCTATATAGCCATTTCTCCCATTTTAAATTTGGAAACACTTAATTTTCAATTCTATATTTAACAAAACCAAATTATCAATTCATTAAAAACATATGCACAAAAAAAATCATTAAAAACATATACCAAGTACATAGTATTCCGTAATAAATACTCCACTAGTATTGTACCCGTGCGATGCACGGGAAACATGTTATTATTTTAGGGAATATAAACATTAATTTTTTGGAAATTTAATTAAAGGAAAAAATAAATATTTAGCGGGAAGGTGCACAATTAAAGCATAAGAAACAAATGTTTACAAATTTTGAAAATACACATACACCTTGATATTCCTATTTGTTGTTACATTAGTGTTTCTATCATTTTTATCACATAGATAGTATGAGAGTAAAGAAGGTTTCCGCACGAACAAATCAACAATAGAAAAAGATTGCCCTTTATTTTTGTTTATCACTATTGCGTACAAAATCATTAGTGAAATTGTCATCTTTGAAATTTGAAAGACAATCTAACGTATCAGAGTCAAAGACCCTTTTTACTATCAATACATTTTCATAAGTGCTTATTCCTGTAATAATTTTTGCTTCTTTTCTCGTGTCAGAATTTTTCCTTCCAGCATACGATGATTACCTAATGTAGTGATCATAATATATCCTTGCACATATCTTGTGAATGATCAATACTTTTATGGGTGTCCCATCTTTTAAGAAAGTGAAATCTTTACTTTTGACTTTACCATTATATGCATAGAAAAAGTAAATTAGATGTAATGAATAATATACAGTAGTGAATGAAAAGTAGGTAAAGAAAGTAAGAATATTAGAATATATTTATATTAAAAACTTTCCAGAAATAGAAGAGAATTTATTTTAGACCTACCCCAAAAAGTGAGAACTTAATATAAGATCAGATAAGTACATACTCCATATATTAATTAGTACAGTCTAAAAAATATTTTATTATGGATTCATTTTAAGTACCATTTACATGAAAATATGTTCCATATTGACATCATCACATATTTATATTTTTTGTGGTTAAAAGGGAAAAAGAATGATTCAGTTTTTAACTACTGCATAATATAAAAGCCGTGATAAAAAAATATTATGCCAACCAAACAAATACACTTAGCAAAAAATCAAATCCACTTATTCTCATACATACATAGGGGTGGACCGGGCCCGGGTCAGGCCGGACTCCAGGTCATGTTGGGGCGGTCTCCGGCCTCCGGGTCAATATTATTCAAGCTCGGTACAGGCCCGGGTTAGAACCGGGACCGGGACGGGTCAAGTATACATTATTTTTGCTAATCAATCTTTTAGTTGTTTAGTGCTTTTTTTTAATAATTTCCTATTTTAAAGAAAAAAATGCACAAAAATTTAAATGATTTATTGCTAAAGAAATATTGAATGTGCAGGTAAATGTGGTTAACGTGTAAAGCGATATATACATATGTGAAACTTAAAATGTAATATGATTTAGAGTGGTAAATATAGGTGATTCGACTTAGTGATTATACAGTCAAACTTGTTGCTTTATATATAGAAAAGTTTTACTGCCATTTCTTGAGAGTGTAATGTGAAACAAAACATTTGAAATTATAAAAATGGTTCTACAGTTGTGAACGTAACATTATTTTATCTTATCTGTGAGTGCATGTATTGCTCTCTTGCCTGACATTATTGTACTCTTTTTAGTTTTCATCATCTTATCACTACTATCTTAACAGGTCTGCAGTGTAACTATTTTAGATCACACTATAATTGTCTAATGAGACAAAGGTATGATCATTGATCTCTCTTTATCGTGATTGCTATTGAATAAGCAACTGATATAATAATACATAATACAAAAAAAGGTAATAAATGGTGATATTTAATTGAGTGCTCTTTCGAGTCCTTGCTTATACATCTATAACATGTTTAAAAAAGAGTAGTTATAACATCATCTTACGTTTAACCATTCAAGGTCCAATAAGAGATGGTTCATATTAGTGTTCTCTAGTATACCACTTTGTTCATATCAACAATTTATAATACTGAATAGATCAAGCACAAAAAATATCCACTCTTTCGCCTAAAATTATTCATCTCTTTCTCTCAAAATCGTTGTGCTCTATGTAAGTTTTACCATCTTATCGCAACTGTGTTAACAGGTCTCCAAAGCAACTACATGCGCTAATGAGAAGTTATATGCACACAAAAATAATCAAAATGATTATATTGAACCACGTCTTTTATAGTATTGCTCCTTGTAGTGTTGTCTCGTCCACACATTTACAGCACCAATTCACCTTCTTTTTCAATTCTAGACATATTAAATAGCAAAGTTATAAGAACTTTTTGAAAGACAAAAACAGAATAGACATATTATAATACAAAATAGCTCAAACCAACTTTAAAACCATGCCATACACACTATTCAAATTAAGACATTAAAAAATAACCAAATGGTTTCTTGAATATTAAAAACATTAACCAAATTTTTTCTTGAATACTAACACAAATAACAGAACAAAGTAATTAAAATGTTTTCTTGAAATATTTAGAAACATATAATGGTGGGTATATATGAGTACTCTTTTAAGTTTTGAATTCTATGCCATATTAGTACCTCTTTAGCACAAGCGTTTGATTTCACCTTCGTCACTTCTGGGCAGTACACACAGCAAGCAGAGTCCCTTCACCAATGTGCATCTCCATGAGTCCCTTCACCAAACCAAAAGTTGCAGGCCTCTTCATAGCAAAAAGTTCAAAAAACATATATAAAGAATCATACAATCTGGTAATCTTCTTGAAAAACCGTTGATCTCAAGCATTGCTGTGGTGGAAATGTTAGCCTGTTGGAATAGTATTATAGGAGAAGTTTTATGGCAGAATGTGAAATGTCATTTTTGGCTGAACAACATGATACTCATTTGTACATTGTACGTATGTTTTTTGAGAAGTTTAATGGTTTGATTAATTATTGTGGGTTGTAATGATTATTCAAAAGGCCAAAAGGCACCTCAAAAATCCCAAATACACCTCATTTAAAGTTGTCCCTAAAAACTCTAACACTCTAGCACGTTTTTCGCATTACAAACTATAACAGCTTTCTCTCCATTTAATGTTATCTTTGGCAGCACATTTTTTTGAATTTTGAATTCACAATCCCGCTCAAATTCCCTCCCAAACTTCCACCCACACTTTTCCATTTTAATATATATATATATATAGATTCCATCAATAATTACTTTTTTATCAAACACTCCAACTTTTGCATTTTAATCAAAATCACTTCTATTCTCAAACACTACCAACTTTTACTACAAATCACTTTTTCAATAATCTCTTTAAAAAATCACTTTTAAAAAGCACAAGCCATCGCAAACACTCCCTAATAACTTTTACAACTAATCACTTTTTCCAAATTACCCCAAAAATGCTTTTTTTAAAGCAGAAGCTGTTGCAAACACTCCCTTAACCCATTTGATTACCATTACCAACCTGATTAGTTAGAGGTATTTGATGTCAATTACAATTACCTAATTAGTTACAATTACTCGATTCGACCAGTTACAATTACCTGATCAATTACAGTTACTTGACCTAAGGAATTACAGTTACTCGATCCGACCAGTTACAGTCATCCATCTAAGGGAGTGTTTGTAATTGCTTCAACTTTAAAAAAATGATTTTTTAAAGTGATTTTGGGAGAAGTGATTAATAGTAAAAGTTAATAGTGTTTGAAAAAAAAAAGTGATTCTGAAAAGGTAAAAGTTGATAGTGTTGGGTAAAATAAGTATTTTTTATGTAATAGAAAAAGTGAAAAGCAGTTTAAAGCATCTTTCTACCTGCTTCCAACTTTTAGCTTTTACGTGATTAATTTAAGCAGAAGCTGTCATTTGAAAACACTCTTTTCAACTTTTTAAAGTCAAAAGCTGAATATCACTTTTTTAAGCAACCAAAAACACTCCTTAACCAATTAAGGTTACTCGGTTCAACCATTTAAAATTACCAAAACGGATCAATGGTAATCAATTACAATTACTCGATCAAAATTAGTTACAATTGTCTCACCCGACCAAACAATTACAATTACTTGGACAATCTACTTATAGATACAGTTACCCGCACACTAGCCACCCCCACCGGCCACTGTCGACCACCACCGACTGCCACTGATCATTGCCGGCTACCGCCCCTGCCCAACTGCCCCATCAGTGAGCCCATCTCCTCTCCGGTGACCAGCCTTATCAGCCCGTTTCTAGCCCCAAGCCCAACCCGGCTCCAGCCTCCCCAACCCTTGCCACCGCCCCTGCCCAACCGCCCTTCCAGTCAGCCTCTCCCCTATCCAGTGGCCAGCATACTCAGCCCGTCCCTAGCCCAACCCCGTTCCAGCCTCCCAAACCCCTTGCCACCGCCGGCCCTGTCCCTACGCCGCCCAGCCCACTCCCAAACCTTGCGAAAATTGCAAACCCACCCCTCACCCCGCTCACCCCTTCACCCCGTAACCGTTTCATCCCTCCTCCATACCTCGCCCCAAGATCCAGCACCGATCACCGCAATCGACTCATAGAGTCATAGATTGAACCGTAGCCACCCACCGTACTCGCCCCACACCCTATCCCGAATCCCTGTCCCCAGCCACTGTGCGATCTGAAACTAACAACCTGACTCATTGTCGATCTAGTAGAGTTCGTGCCTGAAGAAGGGGTAGGAGAAGAAGCGAGATGCAGACTTGCTCTTCGGTGAAGGGGTTGCGGCGGTGAAGGGTGGCGACGATCCACGGTGCAAGCTCTGAAGAGGGGCTGGTTATGGTTATCTATTGGAGAGAAGCGATTGTTTCAAGTAGGGCTGGGCAAAAGACCAGGTCCCGTTGGCCCGTTTCGGAATGTTTCGGTTTCGTTCCGAAATTGTCCCGTTATATTTGGGACACATTATTTTTGTCCCGTATCGGTCCCGAATCGTTTCAAAACAAAACGGGACCGGGACAAGTAAAATATAACCCGTTCCGTTCCGTTGTCCTGAATCCAAAATTGTTCTATGTAATTCAAATAATAATAATAATAATAATAATAATAATAATTCTTTTCTCACAACTAAAATACAAAATAATTATTAAAATACTGGTTGTTTAACAATAAAACACCTAAAAACTCAAAACTACCTAGTATTACATCCTATGAACTATGGAGTATCATCTATCTTCAAAAAAGAAATTGATATTTTACTCCCAAAGGCTTTAGTTCGTATAATATTCTTTTATCTTTTTTGTTGCAGATTTTTTGATAGGTTTTTTGTGTTAGCTTTTTTTGTTGTAACTTTTGCTTCATGCAGCTAATATGGTAAATTGTATTTTTTTCATAATTTTCCAGATTAGCTATATTGTTTTTGTCATAGAGTTCTCTTGCGCTAGTTTTGTTTTTTAATTTTTTGAAAGAATTTTGCTTTGTTTTTGGGATTGCAATTTTTTCATTACATTTGTTTGGGATGTCCTGAACCGTTCCGTTTTGTCCTGGTACCGATTTAAATGGGACAACAAAAGGACAACGTCTTGTCCCGTCCCGTTCCGAACCGTTATTTTAAAACGGGTTAGGGACCGGGACAACCCAATTCCCATTCCGTCCCGGACCGTGCCCACCCCTAGTTTCAACAGGAGGGATAGGGGTTGCTGTAAAAAAAAAAAGGAGGGATAGGGGGAAGAAGCGGACAGTTTAGACGGGAGGGATCAGGATAGCTGAATGGGGGGGGGGGGGGGCTATGGGTCCATTAGTTAAAATTTAATCTCTTTTTTTTGTCCAATTCAAATCTAGTTCTAGTTTTGTCCAGCCAAAAGTCTTTGGTGTTATTCTTGTCATTATTTCTTTTCTTATTTGGCAAAGAAATCTAAATCCAAACAGTGCCAAATAATGTTCAAACAGTGTCAAATGACATGTCCGGATAGAATCTTCTTGGGAAAATTCCCGAAATTACACTAAAAAGGTTTGAAAATTCCAAAATAGGACCGTCATGATTTTATTCCCAAAATAGGAGTAATTACTGCCATGTTTGGAAAATACTGCCATCTTTAAAGCCTGGTACTGCCAAAACATGACAGTGATTAGTCCTATTTTAGGAATAAAAACATGACAGTCCTATTTTGAAATTTTCAAACGTTTTTAGTCCTATTTAGGGTAATTTCCCAATCTTCTATATAAAGACTTATTTAACCCCATTTTTGTAACTTCAAGGACTAAACTGATCCTTATCCCCTAAATAAATAACGATGTCACTGAAATAATTTTGTCACGGTAAAATATAGGACCATATAATACCCTCCAAAAGTATATAGTCACCTCCAAAAGTATATAGTCACTATCAGTCTATCACCCTTGTTCAGTCGAACTGCAACACCCTTGTTCAGTCGAATTGCAACACAGGAGCCGATATTTCTCTCAATTCAACTTGAGGTACATATTTTCATACACACATCTACACACTCATATTTGTGAAGAGTTTTTTTTGTCTGTATACAGACATAACATTTTTTCAAATACGTTATGTTTGTATACAAACAAACAAAAACTCTTCACGAACAGGAATGTGTAGGTGTGTGTATAAAAAATGTGTACCAATAAATTTTTGTTTCTCTATTACCAAAATCATGCATTCACCGGACAACCAAAAACAAAACGTATGGGCAAAATAAATTACTCCCGTACTTTTAGCATTACGTAGTTTTTCAAGTTCTAAAAACATGAAACCGTATTCAAGTCACATTTGGGGATATTTTTTATTCAAGTGTATCTTTGTTGAAGTTCATTCCTTCAACCCTCGGGTCCAACACGTAAGCCCAAGAGTTTTGAGTGGAGTGTGTATGTGAATGAATTAGCCCAACTAACAAGTGAGATGTATTAAGAAACAGTAAGTAGCGAGTAAGAGATTATGTATTATTAATCAGTTAATAACTCCCTAATACAATACTTTCGCTAAGGCTCGTCGGTCGTTCGTCTTACAAGGCAGTAGAAGAGTTGCGGGTAAGAGTGCTATAAGCTAGGATGCTAAGAATAGTAAGTTGTCAACCTCTTACAATGAAATAAATGCTGCTATTTATAGTACCAATGGACAGCTAGCTATGCTGATGTGGCGGCTTGTGTGTGGCTGACGCCCCAACCACCAAATCTCCAGCATTAAATGCATTTCCCGCCAGAATCTGGGTTTCCCGCCTAGCTTGTGGAGACGTACGTCCAGTTGGGTTAAGGGGGACTGCTCCTGGTGATGCTTCATACTGCAAAGGGTAATGGACCGTTCGTAACCCGGCCCTTGGTGGATTTGTCACATGGGTTGGGCTTGCCCCGATGATCAGTTGGCTCCCATGGATGACGTTCATCGCCATATGTACTCATGTGGACTTGATCCACTTGCTCCTGTACAGACGTTCTGTCACGCCCCAGACCGCAATCCAAGCGCGTGTACAGCCGCCGTATAATCAAGTGACGTCACCCACGAGTCAACCTCACTTAATTACATAAGGCGTTCGAGAAAATAATCCATCCATACTCAGTAGTAAACATACATAACAACATCACATTTAAACCAATGAATAGCGGATATATTCAACAGTAAGTCATAAGCCACAATCGGCCAACAACATGGGCATACAAGCCCAAAAAAAGTTTATAGTAATTCAAATATCCATGAGCAAGTGTTCGGTAGTTTGAAAGAAAATAAGGAAGCACGAACCATGTCTTCCTGAGTTGATATCACCCGTAAGAAGTTGCAAGTAGCAAGCCCTAGCTTCAACCTGAAAATGGTGGCCCCCCCGAAGGGGTCAGTACAAGTACCGAGCGAGTAGCAGGCTAAATATAGAATAACTAGCGTTTCAGGTATAAGACCCAAACATAGGGTGATACTTATATAAAGAGTCTTTTCCCCCAAGTTATGAAATACTCATTAGTATACATATATATATATTTGGAAAATATCCGATCCGTGGATCACCGTTTTATTTGGGAAAATAGTAATAGTCAATATTCTTGACTAAAAACCCCAACCCACCCATATACCTATGAGTGTATAGGACTCCTCCTTGTCCCTATTTCAATATCATAACCTATGAGTGTTAAAGACTTTTAGTATTAGGGTCCTCCACCAAATATGAGTGTTAAGGACTTTTAAGTCCTAGGGTCCTCCACCAAAATATGGGTGTTAAGTACTTTTAAGTACTAGGGTCCTCCACCAAAATTTGAGTGTTAAGTACTT